TGTTTTGTCCATCGAGGCTCTTTGGATCTTCGTGAAGGCCCGGTCTCCAACGGTCGATCACAATTCGAAAAATATAATTTACAAAATTACATAAATTGATTCCTAGATCCAGTGAGTGGATGTACATGTCTTCTACTAATTAATTAAACATCCGGTCAACCCCCGGGCAATTAATACAAGCATTCATCCATAATTCCTCGACAATCTCGAGGCTTTAAAAACAAATTCAAAACCATACAACCAACCATCAATTAAGCACAAGCACATAAAGGGTGGCCATAATGGTGGATTAACTACTTCCTGCAAAACCAAGTTATGCATATAATCCAATATATATGGCTGCGCTTGAGCACACATAGACAATTTAAGCCGTTTAATCCAGATCTTGTACATAACAAATTAACCTGGCTCTGATCCCACTTGTTAGGATCTATGAAGATCTCGATATGCACAAATCACGAATAAACATTCAAACATAAACCTATGCGCAGTGGATCTAAAGGTTTGATGTAGGAAACTTACGGCTTAAAATTTATGTAGATCTGGCTGGTCGAACGGATGACCGCAAATCAAATCTTCTCGGAATCGAACAAATTTGACCAATCCAGGAAGCTGACGTCACGGCAAAAGTCAACGGCGTTGACTGGTCGGGATTCAGAGCAAACACGCGCTCTCACGCGCACGCGTGAGCCTCAGTGGCAGCAATCCTCCGGTGGCGCGTGTGGGCACGTGCGGCGGCAGCTGGCGGCGATCTCTTCGGCTCGTCGTCCTGGTCGTCGTGGTATGGTCACTTGCTGGTTTTGGTCTCCGGTTTGGATGGATGATAGATTTTATTGGAATCTCGTATATACCTTAAGATCTTCTACTGTATTCTCAAACAGCTATCTAGATCTTGTATCAGTGGAGCACATGAAATAGAACAACTCCTTGGAAGAGAGAGAGAAAGTGGGCGGACGTGTTTTAAGGTTATGGGATTGTGTGTTCTCTTCCAAGAGCCTAATGTTGTATATATAGAGCTACAGTAGGGACCCTAGGGAGAATAGGATAAGGGCTTCTAATATATTAATATTGTGGAGCAACCCCACAATTAATATATTAATAATATTAAAGTCCACCACAATAATATTATTACACTCCATTCACCTATCCCAAATTACATTTGAGACTCATTATAATTATCCGATTTACCTCCCCATGTTTAAGATATATTGTCCATTAATTAATTCGATCACTGATAATCAAGAATTAATTAATATATTATATTACCGAAGCTAGCGCTCGCTCTTAGCATTCATATTATGCCGGAATAAATCCACCTGCAGGGTTTAGCATAATATTCCTTCATGAACTCACTTCGGGGACATCATCAGACTAGCGCACATGGTGACCGTAAATATCCTAATAGCACATCAAACACATAATGTCATTACCCAATTCATTAAGTATGTCGACCCGACTTGGATCTGACCCAAAGAATCAAAGCAATAACAATTATGTGCACATGCCTATTTAATATCTTACGGGCTAAGAGCACGCGATAATTAACTGAGGCCTAGTTCGTTTACGACGATCAGTATAAAACGAACATCCATCTCTGGGATCCTGTTCAATACGTAAATGTACTAGTGCAACTAATCGGTCAAGACAAACCGTACGATTGACACTACAACCGTTCCGATGGGTTGTTCAATTCCATCTAGGTTGTGAACCAATGATTCTTGTTTCGCAAGTAACTGATATATTGATCTTCGGTACGCCCGATGACGACCCACTTATCTACATGCAAAACAACAGAACGTGGAACTTATTTAACCAAACATAATTCTCATTCATCAGGAAATAACAAGTGTAATATCCACTAAAGCAAAGCTTAAGTATATAACACTAACACTACCACGGTCCAGAACACATGCTTGAAGCATGTTCCCGAGTGTCTGGATGGTCCGCTCCGACTCTTCGTCGGTCTGCGGGTGGAAAGCGGTACTGAACCTCAACTGTGCCCCCACGACCTCGCTGAGGCTCTTCCAGAAATGGGGATCTCGATCTGACACTATGACCTTGGGGACTCCATGAAGTCCCACTACCTCGCGGATATAGATACTCGCGAGCTGCTCCATGGACATCGACATCCGCACGGGCAAGAAACGAGCGGACTTCGTCAGTCGGCCCACAACTACCTAAACCGCATCATGCTGCTCCCTCGATTTTGGTAGTCCCATAATGAAATCCATGGTAACCTCTTCCCACTTCCACAGTGGGATCTCCAAGGGTTGCACTAAACTCGGTGGAAACTTGTGCTCGGCTTTCACCTGCTGGCAACCCAAGCACTTCTTCACAAACTCAGCTACATCTCTCTTCATGCCCCTCCACCAAAACGACCCTTTCAGGTCATGGTACATCTTTGTACTGTCGGGGTGCGCCAAATAGGGTGCACTGTGAGCCTCGGTCAAGATCTCCTTCCTCAAGGCCTCGACATTAGGCACAACGAGCCTCCTCTTGTACTTCAAGGCACCATCTGCGCCTCGGTAAAACCCCTCTACGCCCTTGGCAACAACCTTCGCCCTCATGGAAAGGACGAACTCATCAATGCACTGATCTCTTTGAACTCGGTCTCGGAGCATGGGCCACACTCTCATCGATCGAACACCTCCTACTGCAGGCATCGTAGAAAGTGCCTCGATGACATCTAACTGCATCTGAGCAAACTCTCGAAGGAGCTGACTCTGCTAGGTGATCATGCAAGTCAACTCGACCCTCGCCTTTTGGCAAAGGGCATCAACTACCATGTTCGCCTTCCCTGGATGATACTGAATGGTGCAATCATAATCCTTCACTAGCTCCAACCATCGCCTCTGGCGCTCCTTCTACGTGAAGATGTACTGCAGACTCTTGTGATCGGTGTAGATCTCACACCGACCACCATACAAATAATGCCTCCATATCTTGAGTGCATGAACCACGGCTGCCAACTCTAGGTCGTGAGTCGGGTAGTTCTCCTCGTGGGGCTTTAGCTGCCGCGAAGCGTATGCAACAACCTTACCCTCCTACATCAGCACGCACCCAAGTCCCTGCTTCGAAGCATCACTATAGATAGTGAAACTCTATGTAGGGTCTGGTATAGTCAGCACTGGCGCTGTAGTCAACCTCTCCTTGAGCTCCTGAAAGCTCGACTTACAGCGACGACTCCACTAGAACTTAGCCCCATTCCTCGTCCAGCATGTCAAGGGTAGGGCTATCTTCGAAAACCCCTCAATGAACCTCTTGTAGTAGCCTGCTAACCCGAGAAAACTCTGTATCTCGTTAACAGACCTCAGTGTTGACCAGTTCCTCACTGCCTCGATCTTCACGGGATCGACCTCAATGCCCTCGGCCTTAACGATGTGACCGAGGAACGCCACTCGATCGAGCCAAAACTCGCACTTCAAGAACTTGGCATACAGTCTCTCTCGTCTAAGAGTCTTTAACACGATCCTCAAATGCTCCTCGTGCTGGGCTGCGCTCCTCGAGTAGACCAAAATGTCATCTATGAAGACGATGACAAACTGATCCAAGAATGGGTGGAAGACACGGTTCATGAGATCCATGAACACCATCGACGCATTGGTCAAGCCGAACGGCCTCACGACAAACTCATAGTGACCGTATCGAGTACGAAATGCGGTCTTAGCCACGTCAGAGTCCTTGATCTTCAGTTGGTGGTAGCCCGATCACAGATCTATCTGGGAAAATACACGGGCACTCCTCTGCGAATCAAAAAAATCCTCGATCCTGGGGAGTGGATACTTGTTCTTCACCGTCAACCGGTTCAAGTCACTGTAATCGATGTACATACAAAAAGTCCCGTCCTTCTTCTTCACGAAAAGGACATTTGCTCCCTAAGGAGAGATGCTCGGTCGGATGAAACTGAAACTCAATAGCTCCTGAATTTGAGCCTTCAGCTCTTGAAGCTTCTTCGACGCCATTCGATACGGCACTTTTGACACTGGCCCGACTCTAGGCACCAGGTCGATCGTGAACTCCACCTGACGACTAGGTGGTCCTCCCGGTAGCTGGTCCAGAAAGACATCCACGAAATCACGCACAATGGGTACATCTCTGGGCATCCGCTCCTCCGAAGGTTCCCCGACTATGCTCACCAGGTATCCCTGGCAATTCCCTCTCTACAAACACTTAGTCGCATTCACAGTCGAAATGACTCAGGGTAGGGTCCTCGTCTTCGTCCCGAAGAACGTGATATGATATCCCTCGGCTAAGTGCAGTGTCACCTCTCTATCATGATATCAAATGTCTGCCTGATATCTCTCCAACCAGTCCATGCCGTGAATGAGGTCAAAGTCCCTCATCTCGATCACGAATGCATCAACCTCTAAAGTTCTGCCACCAATACTCATGCTAAGATTCTCGGCCAAGGAGCTCGTAACTATCTTTCTCCCCGAAGCTAAGCTGATCTCGAGGGGGTCGACGGCACTCACTCCTCGTACCCTTATGGCCTCTAGACACTTGGCCGAGATAAACGAATGTGTCGCCCCGGTGTCGAACAAAGCAAATATAGGCACACCATGCAATGAAATCATCCCGGACATAGTACCTGGCTGCTCGGCGGCCTTTGCCTGATCAAGTGCATAGACACGTGCTGGTGCTCCACATGGCTGGTTCGGGGCCAGCTGACGCTGACGCTGACCCTGCTGACGCTGAGCTCTGTCTGGGCAATATCCCCTCAAGTGTCCGGGTCTACGACAGTGGAAACAAATGCCTCGTCGCACAAGACACTCACCGGTATGGTGGCGTCCACAAGTAGCGCAGGTTGGGGCAATCTGCTAAACTGGCTGTACGGCCTGAGCTGGGGCCTGATCCCTCTGTCGGACCCTCCTACCCTGCCGGTCTTTCCCCCTCCTCATGTTCTGACGTTGTGGCTGCTGGGGAGGAGCCATCTTGTAACACCCTAATTATCAGAGTAAATTTTTCGCAATTTATTTCAAAAATACTTATAAATTTTTTAAAACATTATTACTTGGGATGCTACTAAATTATCTACTTTAAAAATTTGTTTACTTAACCTTTATCTACAACTAGTTTATATATAAATAAAACATATTTTAAAACATTGAACAATATAAAAGCTTAACTATTTTATACAATCCACTTTAAAAATCATACTTAATATCGCAATTGTTCAAATCTTAAAAGAAACGTAGCGGAAATCTTACAAGCATGGTTTACAAATCGAAACCTTATTTAAAATTCTCCATAGAAACTTATTCTCATTCACGACCACCACAGCTCCTCACACCTGCGCACCGTCTTTATTTCCTCAAAATGATAATAGTGGGGCGTGAGTACTAATCAACTGTACTCCGTAGAAACACATACTAAAGTAAACAGCAATAATAATATCGATATCATGATCTTTGGCATGTATTTAAGCTTAATCTTTCGGTATCTAACCGATATAACTTGAACTTTGCAACTACCGGTAACTTGGGCCGGTTCTCATATGATCACATTCTGGGAGCCGCCTCCCACAGAACTCAGTCTTGACTAAGCGAGCTTAATACTTTACTTAACTTTATACATACCTCGAACATGATAATAGCTATTATACTTAATTTACTACCCAGTCTGGGTCCCCACCTTTCGTCTTGAAAACTTTTGAAACTGTAAGTGTTGTACTGATAGTGGTATCTGCAACTCCTTCAAGGACTTGAACTTGAAAATTTGAACATACATGCTAGAATTTGAACTTGAAAACTTCTATAACTTGAACTTGAAAACATGCTTGAACTTGAAAACTTGCTAGAACTTCAACTTGAAACTTGAAAACTTTGATTCTTCATTTCAAAATTTCCTCACTTTACTATCATTTCTACCACTCAAACTCTCAAATAAACTTATATAACTTGGAAATATTTTTAGTGTGAATTTTTTAGATTCTAAAGGCCTCTATTTATAGCCAAAATATTGGAATAAATTATTTGAAGTGAAGAAATTATCAAAATAAACAATTTAACTTCTAAAATTAAAAATAATCCTTGCCTAATATTTACACCTCAGATTATCTTAATTTAATGCTCAAAAATAATTTTAGTTGCCACCAAAAACGAGATGATGATATTCTGATCACTTCTGTCGGTCATACGACTCGTGTCACTAGCCACACGACTCGTGTGACCTCACACGACTCGTGTCCCTCAGTCACACGACTCGTGTGAAAAAGCCGTAGCTAAAAATCTGTCGGCACCTACTCCACACGACTCGTGTGACTTTACACGACTCGTGTGAACCTGCCAAGACTTAACTTAATTGTATTTTGAGCCACACGACTCGTGTGACTAGTCACACGACTCGTATGACTTTAAAACTTTAATATTTTAACTCTTTGACCTCAAAATAACTTGATCTTTAAAATTTACTGATACTTACTACTAATAAGTGAATGGGATATTACAATCTACCCCCCTTAAACTATTTTCGTCCTCGGAAATACAAAAACTTGGATATATATACTTATCTGATTATATATCAAAACTTACTGATTCTCAATCCAATCATGCTTAAGCGCACAATTTGAATTTCTCACATATACACTTATCATCAATACGTGAAAAAAAACATTACTTATACCAACTTGAGAGGTAAAACATAATAAAAAATTTTGAACTTATAAAACTTACCTTTCTTTTCAAAACGACACTTCTCATTAGTCGAAATTTCAGAAAAACTTTACTGAAATCTCAAAATGTATTACTTATCCATACTTCTTTCAATAATAAGCAGTCTTAAAACTTTCTTGAGTTTCGACTTACTTACTTATCTATTTCTTTGATCATTTTCCATTATAATGATGAAAATGCTAAACACTTTTACTTGACTCGAAACATGGTTATGTGGTACTTTGCATGTAATGTACCCACTACCCGGGGCCCTTCGGGTATGGAACATTTACATGTGTGTACTCACAATGTCAATATTACCTGCAAAAATTGCATAGCATCATCAACTGCACTGAACTTGCCTCTGCGTCGGGAAAACTTCTGATCAAGCTCTACTATCATTTCTCATATTCTTCTGACTTTAATATAGTTGATGCCTCTGGACGAACTGATTGATAATTACTGCCACAAATTACTGATCATACCACATTTCACCTATCGAGGTGAATTATTTTGTCCTCAATAATGATGTCCGACACAAGTCAACTTCTCAACAATTCATTCTTCAATTATTTCTGACATTTCATTAATGCGCATTTATTACGATGACCGCCATCATTTGTTTTCTTCTGACTGCATTAAATGCATATTGGCTACCTGCTCTGATATTAGAAACTTACCTCATACACTTTATAAATCGTCTCGCTACTCCTTCAGTCTCTTCAGCAATGGTCCGAAACAACAAATGGACTAGGCACTTTCAAATATTCACAAACTATATTCCTTTCTTCCATTTAATATCATAAAAAGGATTTATCGATCTCGAGTGGAAAGATTGAGAGTGCTGATAATCCACAATATTCCAAATGATATCCGATGGTTGATTGAAGGTCCGATTGTCCAGCGAATTCCCGAATTCTTACAAATATCTGCCTGGAATGGGTAGAAGTCCTCTTGCCAGGAAACGTAGAGCAAAACGCATTGGCGGCTGCTATAAATGTGCTCGTCTGAATTGTGACACACGCTGCACTTCTTTAGGATTTGTGTCCATTAATCGAGAGGACAAAATATCTTTCATAAAAAATGGCTTGAATAAGGAACCTTTGGATCAAACCATCCAACAAATTCTCAAAACACATCCCAATGGATATGTGCATCGAGAACTTATGTCTTTATGGGTCTGTTTCAAAGATGAACAAAACCACCATAATCTTGAAAATATTATTGCTAAGGACCCTGTTTGCAACAGATTCTGATAATTCTCTTATTAAAAGGTATATGATTTCTTCTCATTTAGTGACCAACTACTTGTCTGTTTGTTTCTTTTGTCAGAGTATAAGCAATATAAAACTCCTTTTTCTTCCTTTAAATATCCGCTCCTTTCTCCACTTCGAGTATCTCTCTACTCCAAATGGAGATTGTTGAATCTTCTCAAGTTACAAAAGTTCTTCCTTCTATAAAAACTATTTGTGTTATAGGAGGATCCAAACTTGTATCTTCTTCTAAAAATATTTATATTGTATCCCAACTCGTCCGAGAATTGGGAAAGCACAAAATCAATTTACTATATGTAGGAACTAGCCTCACATTCTTTGATAATTTGATGTTGGCTGGAAAATGCTTTGATCTTGAAGTGAAAAGTGTTCTCCCTTTTCACAGAGCTCCTTCTCAAGTACTCAAAGATTCAACTCGTCTGATGCGGACAAACTCTATTTATGATTGCACGATGTATATGTTGAACCATAGTGATGCTTTCATCGTACTTCCTGGTGGATATGGAACTTTAATGACCATGTTTACTATTGCTTCTTGGGCTGACATGAAACTTCATAATAAGCCCATTGGTCTATTAAATTCCCATTACTTGTTTAATGGTTTTCTTGGCTTTCTTGATGAAAGTGTTCTTCAACCTTTTATTTCTGCTTCTACTAGAGAAATCATTAAATGTGCAGATACTGCCGCTGGACTTATCAAAAAGCTTCAAGAGAACGTCTCTCCAGATTCTATGGAAACTTGTGGGATCAAGCTGTTAGAGTAGTATACCCGGCGTTCCAATTTGATTGGACGTATTCTACTTGTAAATACGATCTATTGGAATTATATTATTAATAAGGCATTTCTTTATCTTAAGAGTAAGCATTTATCCTATAATTGCACTTAAGATAAAATCCCTAGATCACATATGGTTATAAGGTATGGTTGCGCATAGAGATGGTGATCATGGAACATACCTTCAAAGCCGTGATCTTCAATATAGTTCCAAGTCGATGGATGTTTCGAAAAGGGATATCGAATAATCCATAAAAGACTTGCACATAGTATGTATGCTTGTTTGGACAAGAATGTTGCATTCCATCAACATTAAGGGTGGGACGCAAGTACATATATGTGGGTGCTTGTTAGAGAACAAGTTCACTAAACATGACCGTATGAAAATTCTTAATGAAAGATTTATCTTGTCGAATAAGAATTTTCATGTTACAATAGTACATGATTGATCCTTAGACTTGAGGCACAATGGTAAATTTGTACATATTACATTTTACTTTGATTTATCCTTTTGGTTGCTAGCACAATCGTATAAAGGGATATTTTGGGTATTATGTTAATATGTATGGAAGTTTGTTAGTGGCCAACAAAGGATTCGACACTTATGAAGATAAGTGAATTTCCTATGTGTTTCATAGTTAGTAATTCAAAGTCCTTGGCCAAGGCGGGATGAATAGAGATTCATAATCGAATTACTAAACTTGAAATTGAATCATAGTTATTAAATCAATTTGGGTTTCGACAAAATAATACCCAAAGATTTAATCGGGAAATTAGATGTCGAAAGGATTTTACATGTATGTAATTGTAATCGAAATAGGTTTACTCGCTATTCACTTAATACTAGATTCATTCTACTTGCTAGGTGTTCCCATGATATGTGGGTTCATGAATTAAAGGGTTAATTCATGAATAAGAGTTAATAAAGATTAACTCAAATTACAAAGAGTTGTAAACCCACTACTAGTATTAATTGTGAACCTAAAAGGTCACACCAATTTTTGAATGAAGGTAAAATTCAAATAGTAATTCTAAAGAGTTAGAATTAATTGACTAATCTAATTTGATTAGATGTCAATTTATGGAATATATTAAATTAATCAATTGGATTGATT